TGTTAAAAGGGAGTTTTTCCTCTCCACTGTCGCTACAAGCATGCTTAGTGTAAGGGATTGCATTTGAGTCAATGAGTCGATGCAATCAACTGGTTTGATAGAAAACTTTGAATCAATGTGACTGCCTGATTTGGTGAACTGTAAAGTGACGTGTTATTAATAGGCGGTATAGAAATAAACAGATTTTTTTTGGGGTTTTTTTGCGTGTCATTTCTTATTTTCTTGGTTATTATCTTCCATGGAAATTGTCCATTTTATTTTATGTTCAAGATGTACGTCTTTGTTATTTTTTTTATTATTATTAAATGAAAAGGACTTTCAAAAACAGGTCCGTGAGTTGCATAGCATGTTAAAAAGTAGACTTGCACAGCAATGACGCTCGAAATTCCAGGGAGTTCCTGAACGCTTCATAAATGTACACTCTAAAGTTTAGCTTCAGGCTCTCGCAAGTCTTTTTAACCCAGTATTGTTTTTTTTAACGTGATCTTCGTTGCGTTTCAATAGATTGCTAGAAGGCCTAATTGCCAACCGCTTAGGTATTTAAATCCATTTGAATTTCGTCTGAAACGCTGCATTGTGATGCTAACGTATGTTAGCATTAGCTTAGGGAAAAGTCTCATGTCAGCACAGCAGCCACTGCCAACAACACAAGATGTGGGCGAGTTTACAGCAACTTTTACTGCAGAACAACAACGGGAATTGGCGAAGAAAATAACCGCATTTTTGTCTCATTACGGTTATCTGTCCGACTCCTTTATTATTGTGCGTATATGGGGGCTAATTCACAAAAAATGTGGAAAAATCTTGTATAAATGTAGTTATACCGAAGGCTTATTGTTAACTTGTTGTTTTATTTTCAGGAGTTCTTTACTGAAAATCTGTGGCAGACGTTACCGAGCGCGTGGCAAGCTGTTCTGCAGGATCTTTCCTATCTACAAACTGCAGATCTACTGCTGGATGCTTCTCCTGGAGACAGGAGGTACTGATGTGTTATATTCAGAGCCGTTTCTAGATACCCTGAGGGCCCTGGGTAAGGGGGACAACTGAGGCCCTGTTGTTGCACCACATCCCACTTTAACCTAAGGACCAACTAATCAGAATCATGCAAAATTATATAAACAAACACAAAAAAAATAAACATTTACTGTTAACTAAGCACATCATGTCTCATTTAGAGAAGCTCTGATCTGGTATTAATTAAATGTAAATGTCAATCCCTTTATCGTTCAACAATGGGGAAAGACACTTGTGTATTAGTGTCAGGTACACCAGGTATCAGTAAATATGGGTCACAATCTGTAGGGGCAATTTGTCTGTTTCTTTGATAGATTTTAGTTGATTTTAGTTTTCAGTTTGCAGATATACCTTCTTGTCCAAAACTCTTCTCCTCAAAGTGCGATGCTCTCATCCTACCTTCTGATGATGAGGAACAAATTCTGCACTGGTGGCATTTTAAATGCCTCTTGAGAAGGAGCTTTCTAAGTATGCATGCATGGGCCCCAATCTTACATCTTTTCATTAAGTCCTGTAGCTTATATGCTACACTATTAAGGACTGGCATTAATTTAATTTGTATATTTTGATTAGTGATGCGTATAATTGTTTTGTTGTAATACAAAGGGACAGACAGATCATAAAATAGTAAATTTAGTTTATAACTTAAGGATTTAATTTAGTATTTATGTTTACAAACAGAACAAGTGCAAATGCATCCTTGATGCTATTAAACAATGTAAATAATCCCTTATCGGGCCATAGGCTCCAGCAGCAGCACCATCTAGTGGAAGGTAGAAATACCTACAACACGAAATAAATTCCTTTTAAAAAAAAATTAAATAAATAAATACATTTTTTATCTAATAAAGCATTAATCTACAGTTAATTCTACATGTTTACCTCCCTAGTTGTAATTTTTTTTTAAACTTGTGTTTATGTTTGTAGCAGCAGTAAAACTGAAAATTTGTACCTGGGTGGTTATTAAATTCTTTGCTGAGAATTATTTAAAATTTAGAATTTAAATAGTTGGTTTTACAGTTTCAGGTTCTCTTCTTCAGCTAGTTGTTGTAGAGAATAGAAACTTGGCTCCAAGCAGGGATGCACCTAAAAGATGACTCAGCTTTATGACACTCTGGTATCACATCTTCAATTATACTTTTGTATTTTTCAGTCAGCGGGTTGTGTTTATAAACTAAAGTATGATTTTTATCTGGAGATCCTAACCATAAATTTGTTTAATGAGATGGATTATGAGGATAATGATAATGGAGGACTTTATGATTACAGGTATCCATCAGTGTGGCCCCTGTCCCTGCTGGCTTTCCGTTCCACCGCCCATGCCCTGGCGTTTCCCAGAGGATCGAGGCCGCAGCGAGGCAGGGCGACTGGTTCAGGGAAACCCGACGAGTTCCTGAAAAACCACAGTCAGAGTTCATTACTGGGCCACATCTTCAGGAAGCACGTAAAACCCAAGAAACAGCATGAGATCCGGAAGCTCGGCGTGGTACTACAGCTGTAGTTGGTTTTGCCCAGGTCTTCAACATGCTGCTGCTTCTGTGTTACATGTTTTATTTTCTCTCTCTTTGTTTTTTTTTTCTTCTTAGCTTGTTAAGCAACTCTGTGACCAGACAGGCTGCAAGAAAGTGGTGGACGTGGGCTCTGGTCAGGTAGGTATTGTAACACCTTTTTTTTTTATAACACTTTTCACATGTTGCAACAATACTGGACACAAATATAAAGCTGATGATTTTTTCTCTGTTGTTTTCTAGTAAGAAAACAAATTTAGTGTCCTGTTTTATGTGAACCCTCTAAACTAAGAGGCTTTATGAAACTTCATAACGACAGAAGTGAAGAAATGAAGAAATGATAACAAATTGATATCTGCATTTTCTTTTGAAAAGGGTCACCTGACCCGTTTCCTGTCCTTTGGGCTGGGTCTGTCTGTGACTGCCATCGAAGCTGATCACACCTTAGCTGCTATGGCTTCCAGGTATGATGCAGAGTTACTGTGGGTCCTGGAAAAAGAAAACCGGAAAAAGGTCAGTATTTCCACACACATATTTCACATTAACATGTTTTATGACAATCCTGATCTATTCAAAAAATAGAATATGTGTTTTAGTGAGGCATATTGGTCAGAATAACATTTATGCTATTTTTTTTCCTTTATATATGTTTCCGTATTAAAAATATTTCTCATATTGCCCTGATATCATAGTCAGATTTCGAAAGTCGTGTTTTTATTAGATGGAATCAGAAAGATAAATAATTTAATGTCAAATTATATCTAAAGTTTTACGGAAAAGTGGAAAAGAAAAAAAAAGTTACCTGATTTTTACATTTTATTTCAGTTTAGTATGGGGAAAAAAGTCAGAATTCTGAGAAACAATTCCGAATTTTGACTTTTTTCTCAGAATTCTGACTTAAATCTACGAATTTTGACTTTTTTCTCAGAATTCTGACTTTTTTTATTTTCAGAATTCAGTCAGAATTCTGAGATTAAAGTCAGAATTCTGAGAAAAAGTCAGAATTCTGACTTTTTTTCCCATGTTAAACTGAAATAAAATTTTAAAATCAGTTAAATTTTTTTTTTTTTTCAGTGGCCCTAATCCTCTTCCGTAAAAGTTTTGATTCCTTGCAGACTCCTTCCTATAAGTTGTGAACAGAGATTAAGAAGTTTTTTTTTTTTTTTTAAACTACTAAACATGCAGTTGCTGGTTTTGGCCACTTGAGGGAAGCAAGCTTCAAACACTCCAAGAAAAGATTCTTAGACCAACCCTTGTTTTATTCTTATTTGATTTGCAATTATTACATAATTATTCATGATTTTATAAACCTTGATTTTGGATATTTTTTACTTTCTTCCTCCAGCTTACAATTAAAAAATGTACACTTATTATTTTACCTTTTATTGGTCATTGAGGAGTTATAGCTGTTTTTATTTATTTTTATATTTGTATTTTACATTGTAGCATGCTTATTGTTGTGTTTTTTTTAGGAAGACAATTTTAAGATCTGTCCAGGGACAACAGATGAAAAAATAGCCTTTTGGCTAATTCTGGTGCATTTGCAGGAATGCTTTTTAATGTACACTGTCCCTGTCAAATAAATAAATAAATTAAATCAAAATTAAAATTGTAGTTAGTTGTAGGAGGTTTTGCATTGGAAATATCTAAATAGACTAATGAAAATCTTTTTCTCAGGGCTGCTCCTTTCAACTTCCTGAAGAACATTGTGTTCCACGGCACATCGCTGGTTGGGTAAACCCCAAGGCATCATGGGAGGCTTTTATAAAGCAACTAAAAGATGCAGATCATGTCATTGAGGGACCCCAAAGTTGGTCTGGACCAAGCAAAAAAAGACGTTCAGATGTAACCCAGAATTCAAAACCTGGTGGTTTTTCACTGAATCCAAACATGGCTGATGGTGAACAGATCCTGTCTGAGGGAAGCTGTTCTTCAGACATCCAATCTGTTTCTGTTATGAACCCGGAGGAATGTTGTGACTTTGTCCTGACTGGGCTCCATGCCTGTGGAGACCTGAGCGCCACTCTCCTCCGCCACTTTGTCAGCTGCCCTCGAGTTCGTGGCATCACCTCTGTGGCATGTTGCTACATGAAAATCACTACCAAAGAAAACCCCGCCCCTCCAGGACTGATCTCTCCTCCCACTCCGCCCACACCTAGCTCTGAGTCGTTTCCCTTTGAGTTTGGCTACCCCATGAGCTCCTGGGTCAGAGGTTTGCATGGCCATCAGCTCTCCTATAAGGCACGGGAGGGGGCGTGTCATGCTGTGGAGGACTATGTGCGGAGGCTCAGGGAGGAGAGCCAGCTGCTCAAGACCCACTGTTACCGAGCGATACTGGAGACGTTCATCAGGGAGGCGAGACCAGATCTCCGCAGGGCAGGAATCCAGACCATAAAGAAAGCCCACTTGTTAGCTTTTACTGAGTGAGTGAACATGGCAGCCTCCAGGCTTTCATGAAGGTTTTCACCTTCTAGGTTCATTATTGTGCAAATAGAAAAAAAAATTCTCAACCATCCGGTTTTTCTGTAAAAGCAAACATCATATCACAGCCTGAGGAGCTTAATATTTAAAAAATGTATTCATGTTATGTTTAATATTGAATGTGACTAAAGTACTTAATATATAGTAATACAGTGTGTTAAAAATGGAGTAAGTGTAAATAAACACGTTCTCCACATGATGTAAATAGGGTTAATTTGCAGCATAATTCATTTAGTTACAAAAAGGGAAAGAAAAAATCAGAGGGACAAGAGTTGAACCGAGAAATCAGACCGTTGTCGGATTTTTCTGCTGTTTAACCTTTCATTGGAAACCACATATCCAGTCCTGCATCAGTCAGTGAACACATCACATGTAACGGATCTCAGCAGCCAGTGAATACAACTCTATGGAGGGAAGTTTGGTCCTTTATTGTTGCAAAGAACATGTTATGTAACTAAGGCTACGTTCACACAGCAGCCAGAAGTGACCAAAATCTGATTTCTTTTTTTTTTTTTTTTTTGCCCATATGGGACCTGTATCTGATCTTTTCATGACAGTCTGAATAACAGATCCATTTTTTTTTTCCAATAACACCCAGGCCACTTGGCTCTGTGGTCCTGAATCTTTTAAAATGCGAATCTTTTAAAATGCGTGAAAGAGCTGGTCGCATTTATCCAACCTGTTATTAATACTCAACAAAGGTCACTATTTTGTGTCATGCTTCGCAGAAGCGGGAAGAAAGCAACCATGGTGGATGATAATGCGGAGAGCAGTCTTTTTTTGTTGTTGTTTTTTTAGCCATCTTGAAAAGGTTGACTTTTTAAGAAAGATCTCTAGATGAGCTCCAGCACTGCCATCCATGTTTACTTCTATAAACACAAAGCACGCTAGCTTGTGACATTGCGTCCTCTACTGCGCATGTGGGACACTTCTTTGCCTTGCAGCTATATTTGCTGTGATCAGTGGGAATAAAGTAGTTTTAATATGTTTTAAAGTGAGAAAATCCACCTGAAAACGTCATCAGTGCAGTCAGTTCATCCAGATTACCATCCTGCCTTCCAATGTTATTTCTGTCGGAGCCACTCAGACCCCCACATACCGGCGGTGCGCTGTCAGTAGGATCCCATTCCACAGCAGCCTCTGGCCCGGTCGCCTCCTCGCGGTTCACCGCGGCAGCTTGTAGGTGTTTTTCATCTAAATAATCCAAACTGCAGGCACCAGGATAATAAAAGCGAACATATTCTGCCGGCAGATTTCTGCATTTTAAGTTAATTTAGGCGTCAATAAACTGTTTCAGAGGAGTGATCACAGCGCTCTGATCATCAGCGATGTGTCTGTCTCCCTGCCAGCTCCCAGATCAGCTTCTCTGATTGGTTGACGCGGCGCATCGAGCAGCAAAAGTTCAATTTTTCCATCTCGAGCAGCGGCGCGTTTGCGCCCGACGCGTGGCTTCAGCTGCTCAAAACGCGCTGCGGGACCTTTTGCTGTGCCTTGACGCGCGTCAACCATTGACTTTGCATGTAAACTTGAACACAGTTTGCACACGACAACACACAAAAAAAAAAAAATCGGATTTCAGAAATTCGGGATTTAGCATCAAGACCTGCAGGATGAACGTAGCCTAAAAAAGGGTATAAGAGTTACTTTACTGTTTAATTAGATTTTATAGAAATAAAAAAACATTTATTCCATACTTTAAAATTATTCCAAACCTTATTTTTAAAATTTCTTTCTACAGATTTTATATTTTTTTGAATGTTTTTTTTCTTTTTTTAGGATAAGTTTTACAAATTGCAAGCTAGAGCTCAAATGTTCCCTACTTAAAGCGTAATAAAAAGGCTCCTTTGACCAATAAAACTGTTATAGATAGAAAGGCTTCTTAAAGGTTGTTGAAATAAGACTTATTTTTGTATAAGAAAGGCTGGTTGAGTTTTAAAGTTTGCTTTCTGGGTTTAATAATGAGCCATGTTTACCAATCTGTATTTAAAGTAATATTCTGGGTACGCTGCACGTTTATGACCTGTTTATTTGCATCAATGTTTTTATTAGGTATGCACGTCTGGGCCTGCCTCGGGTCGGCCTTCCCTCTGATTTACCCCTGGACCAGGAGCGGGTGGAGGCCATGTTGAAACAGCAGAACAAGGTGGTGGTTTACTTCAGTCTGAGCCTGCTGCTAGCTCCTGTAGTGGAGACCTTGGTGCTGCTGGACAGGATGATCTATCTGGAGGAAAACGGTGAGCTGCTGCTTACGTTACTGTGAAAGTGAACTTCCCTCTGACTGAAGCATTTGCTCTCTCTGCAGGAGTGAAGAGTCAACTAATTCCTCTCTTCAATCCAAACTTTTCCCCAAGAAACTTTGTGCTGGTTGCTCTGAAGCCGTCCAGATAGTTGAAACTACTGTTAACCTGTGATTCTGCTCTCCGCTCCCCTGATCCAACCCCCCAGGCTTTTCATTGGTGTGTTTACGTGTTTTATGAATATCTTCTGAGAGTAAAACTATTCAGGGATACCACTATATGCTTTAGATTTTAATAGTTTTGTTTTATTTAAGTATTTTATTGAAGGGAAAGATGTTTGATGACACTGACATGCAGTTTGTCATGCCTTGGCAGTTTTACTGCCAAGGCATGACTTTGCTTTTAAAATACTGCTGTTGGTTTGTTTTTACATTTATGTGATAAAGTTTTTTTTTTAAAGCTGTAAATTATTTGATAAGTTATTTTAATGAAGGTATACAAGTTGGTTTCCGTCTTATGTCTAAACAAGAAAGCAAAATAAAACTTCACTTGTTGTGGTTCCAGACAAATCGTGTTCTATTTATTCATCTCTTGGACATTTTTTAGGGTTTGGACATTTTACAGCTTCATGTTGGACAAAAAGCATTTTATTTCACTCAAAATAAACTCAAGTATACTGCTGCATTTAAAGCATTTCAAACAAAAACATGAAACACTTAATTTGCTGTGGAGAGATTTGTGGATTTTTGATTTTTCATCAACAATTAACTTTAAAGTTTAATTCCTTCTGTGTTTTAATTACTTTTACTTTGATTGATTCTTTTGTAATTATGTTTCATTATATTCTTGTTTCGTGTTTTTTCTTTATAACAGTGTAGCCTGACGGTGGAAGAGTTACACTCAGGCTGTCAGAAGGGGGCACTGATTTTAACAAAAAGCAGACATCAGTTGGTTAACCACCAATATAGATATAATTAATTGGAATTTCATGTGAAAGAACACAAAACATTTTTTAAAATAAAAAAAAAATAAAAATTGCGACCTGCAAAACTATTAAGCACCCTTTTGTCCAAGTGAAGCCAATTCCTTTCAGAAATAACCTGTGTGTAATCTAATATAGTTAAAATGTAGCTGCTCAGTGACTGCCTCAGGGTTTAAGACAACACATCATGAAGTCCAATGAACACACAGGACGGGTCAGGCAAAAAGTGGTGGAGAAGTTAAAAGGCTATAAACAGATTCCCCAAACGTTGAATATCTCACAGAGTGCAGTTCAATCCATAATCCGGTAATGGAAAGAGTATGACACAACTGTAAACCGACAAAGACAACTCCAGCCAACTAAACTTACCGGCCGAACATGGAAAGCACTGATCAGAGATGCAGCCAAGAGGCCCATGGTGTCTCTGGAGCATCTGCAGGGATCCACAGCTCAGGTGGAGGAATGTCTCCATAGGAATAGTTGTGCACTGCACAAATGTTGTCTTTATAAAATAGCGGGAGTAAAAACCCATCTGCAGTTTGCCAGAAACCATTATAAACACAGCAAATGTGGCAAGAAGTGGTTTGGGCAGATAACACCACAATTGAACGTTTGACCCAAAATTCAAAAGGTTATCTGTGGTAGAAGTAACACTGACTCCAAATCTCTCTAAACACACCATCTCTGCTACCAAATGTGGCGGCAGCATCATGCTCTGGGATTGCTTCTGTTTAGCAGCGACAAGGAAGATGGATGAAGCCAAGAACCGGACAACCTAGGATAAAAACTGTTGGAGTCAGCAAAAGACTTGAGAATAGGGCAGAAGTTAATTTTCCAGCAGAACAACAACCCTAAACAGGTATCGGGTATTACAGGCTTACAATGAATCAAAACAACCCCCCATTCCAAAGGGGTGGACCCGTTCGTCTGGTTTAATTTGCATGTTTTCTAAGCCAAAACAAGGCTTTTTTTTTGGTCCACTTTAAAAAAGCCTTGAAGTCAACACTATTTCTGACATTTTGAATTGAAAATGCCTTCTGGATGAGAAGCTAAACATCTTTAAAACTTGGAAACAAAGTCCAATCGATTGTTTTTTAACTTTTCCTGGAACAACCCTAAACACACAGGGCTGCAGTGAAACTGTTTAACCCCTTGATGCCTATTGTAGCAAATATGCAACAAACCATATTCTATGCTGAACAGTTTGCTTCAGCTGTGGCTGGTTTTAAAGCTCCACATTGTTGCTGTTTATTATGTTTAAAAACCTGTAATTCACAAACCGTAAATATAGAATGTTTAGGGCGTGCTTTGGTGGTGCAGTGGTTAACGCGCACGACCCAGGTACGGAGTCTTTGACACGTCCGACCCAGGTTGGAATCCGGCCTGTGGACCTTTGCCGCATGTCTTCCACCTCTCTCATAGCCCCTTTGCAGTTATATATTCAGTGGGGACCTCAGAGCTTTGGGCAAGCACTTTTTTTACGGTACAACTGTTGTTACAAATCTGTGGAGATGGGAAGTAACGAAGTACAAATACTTACTTACTTTACTCAAGTAGATTTTTCTGATATTTTTACTTTACTTTACTACGGTACTTATTTTTATGGCGACTTTTTACTTCTACTCCTTACATTTTTACACAAATATCTGTACTTGCTACTCCTTACATTTTAAAAAATTGGCTCGTTACTTTAGTTTTGAATCATTTCAATGGAGTTACCGTTATTATTTTTCACGTCATCAATACCAAATTCAATCTAATTGGATGGGAATCTACGTTGCATTTGACGCACCACTACAAGATGAATCGACAGATTCGGCGGTATTCATTCGCGGCAAATCATTGCAGCTTGGTGGCGGTGGCGTTAGCATAGTAGCATGGACGACGACATGATTGAAAATGAACACAACGGAGATCTAGTCCTATTGGCAGACATCCATTTAAAATGTAGGCAACCGCATGAAAAAAGTGGTTTCTACTTTTACTTTTATACTTTAAGTAAATTTACAAGCCTGTACTTTGTTACTTTTACTTGAGTAAAGAAGTTTAAACAGTACTTCCACTTTTACCAGAGTATTTTTTAACACAAGTATCTGTACTTTTACTCAAGTACGGAAAGTGAGTACTTTTGCCATCTCTGCAAATCTGCGCCATAACTAAATTGCTATCTTTTTTGTGCCGTAGTCAATGTAACAATCTCAATTTGATAACTACTTAAGACAAAAACATGTAAAAACATTTTACATACATGTATAGGAATTCAGGTGTCAAGGGGTTAAAACAAAATATATTCTAGTATCAAAATGGTCCAGACATTAACCCATAAATCTGTGGCAAGCTGTTGTTCACAAAAGCTCGCCATTTAATCTGAGCATGAGCTGTTTGACAAAGAAGAATGGGCAAACATTTCAGTCACTAGATGTGCAAAGCTGATAGAGACATCCCCTCAAAGACCTGCAGCTTTAATTGGAGCAAAGGGTGGTTTCAGAAAGCATTTACTCAGAAGGACTGAATACTTTTGAACAATGTCATTTTATTTATAAAAAAACTAAATTATCCATGATTTTCTTTCTGCTTCCCAATGGCATACCACTTTGCATTTGCCTTTCACATAAAATCTCAATTAAATACATATATGTTTGTGGTTGTGATAAGACAAAATGTGAAATGTTAAAGTGGTATGAATTCTTTTTTAAGGCCCCTATAAATTAAACTGTAGGAACAACACAACTAACAAAACTAAACCTGGAAAATCTGAATGTGATGGTGTAAATTCTGATCTTAGTGTCACTTAAATTCAAACTTTTATTGTTATTTTTAGATGGATAGTGTAAATAAGTTAGCAGATACACAGTATTAGTAAACATACCAGATTAATCCAAGGCTAGTTTTTTCATCAGCAGGAATGAAAAATCTTTTGGCTATTTATGAAACCATAAGGAAATGCAGATATAACACACTTATAGCAAAAATGATAAAGAAAAACATGGTAGAAGAATAAAACAGCCTTAGAAATATGTAATGTAGTCCATAAAGTTCTGGTGGTCCGTGTGATTGCCAGAGGGGTGTTTGTGTATTTTCTCAGAGCTTCGTCATTAAATCTCATTTCCCGTAAGTTTGCTTTCATTTTTACATCCATTCACCAAATGTTTTCTGTTCTTTTGCAATCTGGAAAAATTAGCTTCTTCCAGCAAGTAACGTCACCATCCTGTTTTCATAAGTCGTCTTAATTCATTGCAAAACAACAAGAGTCCACATGTTGGATGGGGTTGCAGTAAATAACGACAGTTTATTTATTTCGAACACAAACAGTTGATGTTTTCTGTTTTGCTTTTTTGTTCCACCCAGGTTTGATTTATTGTGCCAACTTTCTGTGAACCATTTTTACAGCTCAGCCCTCAGACACACAAGAAATAATCACAACCAACTGTTACCCACTGCGATCTGGAGGCCCAGAACCGAAACCCAAAACCACATTAAAAAGAGTCACCTTATTCTTCAACAAACTCATTCTTACAAGAGGATATGGGGCATATATATATAACTGTAGCTGTTGAATATTCTCAGTCAGGTCATAGTCATTTAAAAAAAAAAAGTAAAAAAAATAAAAGCAATCCACTGGACTTTGTTTCTAAGTTTGAAGATGTCTCGCTTCCCATCCAGGAAGATTTTTATATTCAAAATGTCAGAAATAGTGTTGAGTGCAAGGCTTTATATAGTGGACAACCCCCCTTTCAGAGGCGTAGACAGGTATCAGGTATCACAGGCTAAAAAGGAACCCAAACGACCCAGATTCCAAAGGAGCAGACCCGTTTGTCCGGTTCATCCATCCATCCATCCATCCATCTTCTTCCGCTTATCCGGGGTTGGGTCGCGGGGGTAGCAGCTTCAGTAGGGAGGCCAAAGGCTCTCCCAGGCCAGCCGAGAAACATAGTCCCTCCAGCGTGTCCTGAGCCTCCCCCTGGGCCTCTCCCCGGTGGGACCTACCTGGAACACCTTACCAGGGAGACGTCCAGGAAGCATGCTAATCAGATACCCGAGCCACCATTCAGAGTTGTCTAAATGCTTTTGTCATGTAAAAAAAGGCCTTTATGCTTTTAATGCAACATTTTTTCTTGAACAAACCAATCTTTTCTCAAAAAGCTGAAGAACGTCCTGAAATGTGAAGCAGGTTATATGAATACTTCGATAAACCCCATTTTTAATTATTGTAAAGATCCTTTATTCTTCATTGTATGGCGTCCATCAGCAAAGGTTTTTCTCTCATCAAGTGGTCTGTCTTCAAGACACTACACATATTTTGTCTTTTACTTGCAAACCCCAGTCCATTAATTTATACAACTTTACACAAAAGTGTTAGGATTCCAG